CCTTCTAGTGAGTTACCAAACCTGAGGGTGGTCTCGGGAATCCCTGAACTTGCAATTAGTGTCAGAAGTGGGGGTGGCCTTGTGGACTGTACCCTGTAACTTTCCCCAATCCAGGACCTGGTGCATGGGTAGCCTCGGGGAATGTTGGTAGCCTGAATGAGTGAATGAGTCCCTGGAATACTCTTCTCCACCTAGGAAATTCCTCCTTATCTTTCCAGACCCAAGCGTCTTCCCAGTGCCTGGGGACTCTGTTTTCACCTGGGTTATCTGCACTTGCCAAAGTGTTCGCATTGTAAATAATGCCACCTCCTTTTGGCAGAAGGTTGGTTTTAGGTTGGTTTAACTCCGTATCTAAGTTTCTGATCAGATTTGCAAATGGGAGGCACACATATGGCTTTTATTTGACTCATGCTGCTTTTTAAAAACACGTTCTGAATTGCTAACATGTTTGAATCAAGACATTTTGCACTGAAATCTGGATTTCTGGATTCTCCTGAAAAAATCAGATCTGGAAATAGTGGCCCTGCATGCCCGCTCAAGGGAAAAGGAGTTGGAGCAGAGTTCGCTACTGTCAGTCGCTCCCTTCAGGTGAGGCTCCTGCTCTCAAGTTGGACGTAGCCCCGATCAGGCCGACTGCACTCATGTTGTTACCTGCTGTTGTGGGATTCTGAGTTTACAAACTCTGCATCAGAGCCTTACAAGATCAGGAGAAAACAGCAGAGGCAGAGGCAGCTGCTCCAAGAAGCAAGAATCCTGGGACTCAGGAGTCCTGAGTAAGTGGTTTGAGGTGCTTTGAGCCTCGGTTTCTCTGTTTGCAACACAGGGGTGGGTGGGAGTGGGTCTTGTACCCACAATGCTCCTGCAGAGAGATCCTTGGGGTTTTCTTAGTGTCTAAGCCATTCACCTTCCATAGGCCTCCGTTTCTCTCTCTGTAAAATGCTGAGGCTGGATTAGGTAAGTGGTGCCCCCAAGACTGGCTGCAGAAGGGTCACTTGTCACTCTGGGTTCTCAGTGCTCCAGGCAGCCTCTGCAATAGTCCAACTGCTAGTGCTGCCTTCTCTCTTCCATGTGGGATCTGTGCTCTTATGTGTTGGCCTCCCTGCCAAGACCACATGTTCCTCATGGGCAGGGATCAGATGTCTCTGAGAGGGAGTCGGTCATGCTCTGTAGGCCTGTGCAGCTCTGAATGAGCAGGTGGATCTACATGTCCATGAGCCATGTATTTGTCATGATCCACCTCCGAGTTTGTGTGTCTACTGTCTTCTTTCTCACTCGAGAGCCCTAGACTGTGGGAGAACCAGACCTTGTTGTTTCTCTACCTTTGGCAAGCCCCTCCCCGTCTCTGGGCCTCTCAAAATTAGAGGGATCCAACTAACTCCTTTAGACGACCCTGGGTGGCAGAAGCGGTTAAGCGCTAGACTACCAGCTGAAAGGTTGGTGGTTCAAACCCACCCAGAGGCACCCTGGAAGTAAGGCCTGGTGGTCTGCTTCTGAAAGGTCACAGCCTTGAAAACCCTATGGAGCAGCTCTACTCTGCACACATGGGGTCGCCATGAGTCAGAATCAGCTAGATGGGAATTAACAACAACAACTAGCTCCTTTTAACCTCCATTTCTAAGGTATTTCTGGGTGGAGGGGATTCATGCATGTTTATATCCTTTGGGGAAAGGACCTGTAAAGAAAAAATCATTGAAAATTTAGGAGACAGAGGGGCTGATTAATGGAGAATGGTTCCTGAGGAGGCAAAATAAATGGATTGCCAAGTAGAGGAGGTGGATCTAACTTTGGCTAGGAAGAGAGATGCCTCTTTCTCTTAAAAAGGCAAGGAGGAAATCATCAGTGCCAATGGTAATGACTTTGTAGGTATGGGGTTGCTGCTCGGTTAAGGCCCAGCCCTGGCTCTCCATTCTAGCCATGTATCAGAATCAGCTGAGGAGCTTGTAGCAAGCACAGGCCAGCTGGGCTCTGGCCTTGGGGGTTTGGGTTCAAAGATCTGGGACGCCCCAGGAGTCTCTGTGTTTAGTGAGCACCCTTGGTGATGCTGACCGGTAGCATGAACTCTGGCCTCAGCTGTGCTGTTGAGAGCCTAGACGCAGTCAGGCTGGCCCAGGGACTTACCTTCCACTTGGGAAGGTGGGGTTTGAGCTTCAGGCTTCTTGAGTGTCCTGTCTCCTTCAGCAACTCTGGTTTCTGGAGAGTCGAGACCTCTTTGGTCTTGAGGATTTGGTTTTCCTCCCACCATTTAAGCATCTTCATTCTAAAGCAATGAGCCCTGTGATTAAGGCTGTGCTCAGCTCTCCTTTGGTTCCCAGAAGGAGCCCTAGGCTGGGGGTCAGAATACAGAGGTTCCCTTTGTAGGGCCTCCACATCTAGATCAATGTCACTATTTACCCTTTCTCCCACAGTGACCAAGCACTGGTGGGAGGAAACATCACACAAGACTTGGCACCGTTAATAGTTAATCATCTCCAGTCACCATTGAGCCTCTGCTGCTGCTCATCAGTTGTTCTCCTTGTCCTTGAACAGATCCTGTTCATTCTCCTCAATGATTATTCAACCACTCCCACCACTATCACCTCTCTCCTTAAGTCCCTTGCCCCTCATCCCTGCCCCTGCCCATATCACTTTCAACAGATGACTTTGCTATACTTTGTTGTGAAAAGAAGCTATTGGTGGGAGGTCCTCATCTTTCTGCCCTGCAGCCTACCCACCCCAGTCATAAATGCAACCTAAATGTGAAAAAGAAAAAGGCGGAACATCTGCCACTGGACTTTGAGAAATAAGGACAACTGATTGCTTTAGAAGTATTGTTTTGGTGGTGTAGTGCTGGAGAGCAGATTGCAATGGATTGAAAAGTGTAAGGGTGATAAGAATCAGGAAGTGAGTGTAAACTATTTTTCAAAAGTATTGGATGGCATATAAGGGAGTTTTTTAGGGCTGAGGTGGGGGAGATTTGTGCACTTTTATATCCTTTAGAGAAAGAGCCAGTAAAGAAAGAATGATTGAAAATTTAGGAGGCAGTGGGGATGATTTATGGAGTACAGTTCCTAAGGAGTTGGAGGAGATGGATTCCCAAGCAAAGGAGGTGGATCTAACCTTGGACAGGAAGAGGTATGCCTCTTTCTCTGAAAAAAGGCAAAGAGTAAATCATCATTGCCAATGGTAATAACTTTGTAGGTGTTGGGAGTCACCTTTTTACCAAACTTGTTGCCATCAAGTCGATTCCAACTCATGGCGACCCTATAAAACAGAGTAGAACTGCCCCCATAGGGTTTCCAAGGGGTGGCTGGCGGATTCGAACTGCCAAACTTTTGGTTAGCAGCCAAACTCTTAACCACTGCGCCACCAGGGCTCCTCTTTGAAGTAGGTAAACTTTATTGCTGAGAGTGAGACGGGAAGAGATAAGAAAGTTGGGGATAAAAGGAATAATGTTTGGACTACTGCCTGAGTACTATGCTGGAGAGAGATGACATAAAGATTTATGGGCAGCACTGACAGCTTACCCCAAGGATGACATTCTGAAAGGGTAGGGTTCCCTTAGTATTTCTCTTGTACAGACCTCTAACCTAGGACTTTCTTGCTTGTCTGTCTACATGGAAAATCCAGGAGACAGGGTAAGAGGAAAAAAAGTAAAAAAGTCTAACAAACCTTAAATAAACCCAAAACCCATTGCTGATCCCGACTCATAGTGACCCTAAAGGACAGAGTAGAACTGCCCCATAGGATTTCCAAGGAGCGTCTAGTGGATTCCAACTGCTGACCTTTTGGTTAGCAGCCGTAGCTCTTAACCACCACACCACCAGGGTTTCTAAACCTTAAATAAGAGCCCCATAATGAAAGGAAAGATACAACCAATCCATGAAGAAATAATGGTTGATAATTTTCTAGAACTAATAAAAGCACCAGACACAGATTAAAGACAACAAAGAAATAAAAATAGCAAATAAAAAAGAAACCCGCAATTAATCACATCAGAGTGAAATTGTTAGTGCTAATACCTACAAGTCCAGGAGGCTATGGGAGTCCGGAAGAAGCACCCAACCCAGGTGAGAGGCCAGGGAAGGAGCACATGATGCCAGTGTTGTCAGCTGAGTCCCAAATGATGAATCAACAATAGTTAGAGTAAGAGACGGGACAGGGATGGGAGTTGGACTGTAGAGTAGGAAGGCACCCAGGTAGAAGATGCAGGAAAAGAAACAGTGTGATCTGTCAGGAAAACACAGGCAAGTTGGTGTTATGCAAGTTTAAAGTGTGAGGCAGGAGCAGAGGAATTGAAATGAGTGAGGCAGAACTGCAGAAACGCCAGAGACAAAGATATCTTAAAAGCAGAATCAGGAAAAGACAGATTACTTTCCAAGGAGTGACAGATAAGATTTAAAGCCAACTTTTCTTCAGTGACAATGGAAGCAAGAAGTAATGGAATGCTTTGTTCAAGAATGAAAATAACTGCTAACATAGTATTCCAAATCCGGCAAAAATATCTTTCCATTATGAAGGCAAGAGAAAGATGTAAACAAACACCAAGAGTGTTTGCTATGAGGAGACCAACTCTACAGCACTTTCTACGATATATTTCAGAAAGGAAATGATTATTGATGGAAGGTCTGATGTGCAAGAAAGAATAAAAAGTAAAGTCATATAGTAAAATGGTATGAAAAGAAAAATGAAATAAGGAAGAAGATTATTAGAAAGTATTGATGTGTCTAATGAATGGGTCACAAATTATAATGGGAATTAGAAATATTATATCTGAATGATAATAAAACATTTCATGTTACAATTTGTGGTTTGCAGCTAAAGTCATGCTTAGAGGGGAATTTATAGTTTTAAGTGAAAATTCTGGAAAAGAAGAATGGCTGAAAATTAACAATTTAACAATCCATATCAAGAAAGTAAGTACACAAAACAAACTGGAAGAAAGTATAAGGAAGGAAATAAAAAACAGGCATAAAAGTAGTAGGCTTTGAGATAGACTTGCTGGTGAACTTTAACTTTGGTACTCACACAACGAGGACGAGGAAGAAGAAGAGCAGTGCTGATGCAATGGCTCCGTACACAATGCCCTGGATCAACCCCTTCATGAACACACCGGAAACTGAATTCTTATCTGGAACCAGAGGAGAGTGAGAGCAGGATTTTTTCCCCTAAGGTTTTGAAGTCTGAGCTACAATTCTGCTTTTTCCTCTGGCCCTGTGCACAGTCTCATCCTGGTTCTTATGCATTGCCTTTCTAACCCAGTCACTAGGTCCCCTGTTTACTCACTTGGTATCAGGAAGATGCTTGCAGTGTGAGTTCCATATTGATTCTTCCCCTCACAGTGAAGCCTCATGACTATTTCTGGCTCTCCAAATAGGCTGATGGTGCTGTTGGCCCACGGTGCAAATATGGTGGAAGTCACCTGGAGGATGTTATCCATGCTGTCCACACCCACAGGAACATCTCCCATCCACCACTGCATGGAGGGTGTGGGGAGCCCATGGAAGGAACAGCTGCACTGCAGTGTCTTCTCCAAGGAACATGAGAAATTGAGCAGCCTGGCGGGTGCTGTAGGGATGGGGGGTCAGGAATTAGCAAAGCACCCTGACTTTCCTTTTTCACCTCCTCTAGGACCCAGTCTTCTGCTTAGCTTATGATTCACAAGGAGCTTCAAAAGGACTTTCTGGAAGCCCAGAGATGCTGGGCGCCATAGACTCGTTCCCCTTTATCCTTTCTCCTCACATGCCTCATACTTGGGCTTAGGTCTTACCTCTGGCCTTTCAGCCCTAGAGGCCTTGAGAAGATGTGACTGCTCCCCAGACTTCTTCCTTCTAGGACTCAGGTCTTTCTCTTAGGCCCGCCATTTCTCCCAGACCCTGAACCCTTCCCCTACCCACCGGTACTCACAAACCACTTGGAGACTGACCATGCTACTTCTGGTCAAGTTAGCTAAGGAAAAGTTCAAGTGACATCCGAGGGTGGTGCCATGGTCCTCTGGCTTTGGGGTGAAGTACAGCACTGAGGAGGAGTAGTTGCTGGTGACGGCTGTGTTGGAGGACATGGTGGGCCCTTTCCAGGTGAGGAAGAGGGCTTTGCTTTCTTTGCAGTTGCCTTTGATGGTACAGGTCAGGGTTACAGGCTCCCCAGCCATAAGAATCTCTGGAATGTGGAGTTCTGGTTTCTGGGTCAAGTCTGGAGAAGAGAGAGTGAGTGGACCCAAAACTTGGTAAGGGACTTTTATAGACACTTCACTGCTGCACAATGTTTCCAGGTTACAAAGTGCTTTCCCACCCATTGGTTCATATGGTACCACCAACAACCTTATGGAATCTGGGATCATTATTGTTGGGTGGCTTTTCACAAATAGATTTCCTTTGTGTGGAACTTTCAAGACTGATGATGAGTGAATTTTCTGAGGATCTACTTTGCCTATGATCTGTTACCGGCCCTCCCCCAGGCTAGGCTTCCCAGCCCTAGCTCCACCTCCCTCCTCCCACCCCCAACTCTCCCCTTAGGCTCTGCCCCTTCTCAGCCCAATCTATGATCTAGTTCCTCCTCCATCGCTTACTGTCTGGATGCTGGCAGGCAAGTCATTTCTCCTTTGTTTGCTGTTTCTAACCAGAAAAATAACTTACTTTATGGTACCTTTATTGTGGCATTATTATTGTAAAAATTAAATGACCCAAGGTTTCGTACAGCCCAGTGCTCAGTGAAGTAAAAGCCACAAAATTACTAGAACAATTTCTGGATCTCTTTCCTTCCAAACCACTTATTGCATGAGATTGAATGTCACCTGACACAGAAAGTTCAATATTCTCTCTCAGGAAAGTACTTCTTTGTTCTCCTAGATCTGCATAGAATAAGTATGTCATGCTGTCCCTTTTGAGTACATCGTGGATCAGCAGGGTACAGTCTTGTTCTTCAAGATTCCCAACTATGTGGAATCTGTCCTTGGTGTTATCATCTATGGTCACATTGGGCTTATTTGTAGCTACAACAGAGCTGATATTTTTGTTGAGCCAGTAACCCATAATCATGGAATTGCTCGGGGATCCTTCAGGAAATTCAAACACACAGGGGACTGTAATGCACAGTCCCTCTTCCACTAGTATCTTCCTGGCCGCCATCAAAACTTGAGAAAGTGACCCTGTGAAGAGAGATTCAAGTTGAAAAACAGACTCTTCTAGTGTGCCCTGGCATCCTGCCTGTGCAGTAAAGGATTAACCTTGCTAAGAAAGGTTTGGTTCTTGCCCAGTTCCTTTCGAATGTCCTGCTTGATAAGAGTGTCTTTGTTTACCTGAGGCCTTGGGTCACACCAGACTATGCTAACAATGGGATTTATGGTGGGAGACCCTTAGCCATGTGGTATCAGCTTGACCTCTGGAGGGGCTGGAGGCTCAGGTCAGCCAAGTAGCTGTTCGGCTATGTCTATATGACCAATTCTCAATAAAAACCCTGGACACCAAGGCGTGGGTGAGCCAGCTGGCAACACTCTGTGTGTGCTGTCACACATCATTGCTGGGAGAAGCAGGCACTGTCCATGACTCCACTGGGAAAGAACAACTGGAAGCTCAGGCCTGGTGTCTCCTGGACCCTACCCTATGCACCTCTCCTCTTTGCTGATTTTAATCTGTACCCTTTCACTGTAATAAACTGTAACTGTGACTATAATGGCTTTTCTGAGTTCTGTTCATCTTTCTAGTAAATCATTGAACCTCAGGGTGATTATGGAGACTCCCAAAAAGCACCACCCAACCAGGTCTGCTAGTTGTTGTTCTTGTTGTTGGTATTAATGGTATCTTGTGACCCTGGCCACGTCACTTCCTCTCTGAATCTCAGCTTCTCAATCACAAAAATGGATATAATAATACTAATGCTGCAATGTTGTGAGAATTAATAATAATAACTACAGAGGCACAGACCCCTGTAATAATAATTGCAGATTGTGACTTAGCTGTTGGCTGTCAGTGAACAACTATTCCTTCCCCTTTCCTTCTTCACTTTCTGAGTGACAACTCTCTCATGTAAAAAATGGATGGATTGGTGAACTACATGGTTCCTGGGTCCACTTCAAGTAATTATGGTGATAATAATAACTTGCATGAACTTTCACAGATTTCCCAGCATCTTCATAAACATTCACTTAAGCCATTCTCATAATGGTTTTATTATTATCATGATAGACATATGGGAAAACTGAGGCTCATAGATATTAGGGGTACTACCCCAGGTGCTCTGGTGGTGCAAAGGTGAAGAACTCAGCTGCTAACCAAAAGGTTGGTGGTTCAAACCCACCTAGTGGCTCTGTGGGAGAAAGACCTGATGATCTTGCTTCTGTAAAGATTACAGCCTAGAAAACTCTATGGGGGCAGTTCTACTCTGTCACATGGGCTCTCTGTGAGTCGAAAACCAACTGAGTGGAACCCAACAACAACAAGCACCCTAGGTCATAGATCAAGCAGTAATGGCACCAGGACTGGAACTCAGTGTTCTACACTCTATGTCCAGTACTCCAGCCATCATGTCATAGGGGTCATAATGCACTTGGTTGTGGCCACCATGCTGTTTGTCTTCTTTAAGATGTGAAGTAGTAACATACACCATACAGGTGATGATTTTTGAGAGAGTAGATATGGACACAATTATTATTTAAGTCCTAGAAAGGCAGAAAGGGTGTGGCATTAAGATATAACCACTGGGCACTCCACCAGAGAAAGTTTTAGTGATTTGGGCAAGCTGCTTAACCTCTCAAAGTCCATTTCCTCATCTATCAAATGGGGATAATAATTTCTCAGGGAGTTGTTGGGTTGATGAAATGGAACACACAATGAGTCACAACGTCAATTACAGAATGTATACGCAGAAGATGTCTATTGTTTATTATTTATGTAGTACCTAACTCTTTATGTTCTCACTTCTTCTCTTTAACTCAGCCCATATATTGCCCCACAACCACCCCGGCCAATCCTTGGCTTCCTCAGACCCCTCCCATACTGGTTTTCATTCCACTTACCCAACCATAACAGATGCAGTGCCATCAGCAGCAACAGGATCTCAGGGACAGGAGAGAACCAGGGCCTGTCCTGCTGCTAACTGTGGCCTCAGATCCGTATGACCTGGAGAGAAGGATTTGGAATGGATGAGGAGAAGGGGAAGCAGTAAGAGGAATGGAGTGGTGGTAGAAATAAATTCACTGCTTACTAGGGGCTCTTGTCTTCCTTCCCATTCTTTCCTTGCCAAAGAGGAAAATGTGCCCATACATTCCTACCTCTGAACGTTTACTCAGACCACTGCTCTTTCCATGGCACCCTCCTGCAACTCACTCTTTGGCCCATATTCAAATCTTACTTCTTTTTACAAGTTCAGGTCAAATGTTACTTCCTCCTGGTAGCCTCCCTGTATCTCCAAAACCAGAAAGACGCCTCCTTTCTCAGATGCTCTTTAGCACCATCATCTGCCCATCTCTTTAAGAGCAATGTCTGTGGCAGACCCTGAGAATTGCCTACCTGATACCCACTCCCCTGCACCTCCTTATTATTTCAATTGTGCTCAGGTCATCAAGTCTCCAGTTGTTGTTGGTTTTTTAATCTCTATTTCCACGCCTCCTTTCCATTCAGGGGTGTCCGTGTGAGCCTTTGAAAAGAATGCTTATGCTACTATTGTTGGATAATTTAATGAAGCAACGGCACCCAACAACGACAACGTATGAGACAGGTTTGGCCAGTAGGCCAAGTAGGAAAAAAATGCTATAAAATTATTATCAGCAAATAAAAGCCTATTGAATCTTCTCCCCATTTTTTTCCCCCAGCACAATTGAGCTCTGAAGGTCTGTGCTTTGCATATAATGCTAACTAGTGAAATCCCAGAGCCTGGTTGTTTAAAAAGCAAGTTTTCATAATAAAGAAAATGAGTCTCAGAAAGAGCGGAAGGCAATGCCACCACCCCCCGACCTCGCAGCTAAAAATCAAGATATTGCTCTGTGTTATAAAATGGTTCAAGAAATCTGATTTTATGTTGTGCAAAACTGAGAATGTTTATAAGAACATCAGTTATACTCTCCAACAGTATCATATTCAGAATATTCATGACTGTTACTGACTTGTTCTGTTTCCTGTTAATACAAATCTATCCTTGGAAGAACAATTTAAGCAAAGAGGTCTTATGAGACTCCAAAGACATTATAAATTGTTTCATTAAAATAATATTCAAATAAAATGTAATTCTGATAGGGTGTCTTACCCGGTAATTTCTTGCTCTGGTAATAGTCATGTTGTAATTGACATCTGTTTTCCTACCTTGTATACTTATCTGTAGGACTGCACTACTCTTCTCTTTTTCCTCATGTGCAACGCAAAAAACAAAACAAAAACAAACCCCCAAAAACCCCAAATTTCAACTCCACTAGCTTTATTATTAAACAAGTATTTTGAGAGACTTTTCTCTTTAAAATACTAAACGTTAGAGACTGCTGAAGATTTCTGGAAGTTTTGCTTTTCTGATATTGGCACCACAACTTTCTCCTTGTTACTTCCTTCTTCTTTGTCCTCCATGGAATATGAATATGATACTGCCGGAGAAGAATATTGAATATACTATTGTTATGGATTGTGTCCCCTCAAAATGTGTGTCAACTTGGCTAGGCCATGATTCCCAGTATTGTGTGACTGTCCATCACTTTGTCATCTGATGTGATTTTCAGTAAATCCTACTCTATGATGTTAATGAGGCAAGATTAGAGGTAGTTACGTTAATGAGGCAGGACTCAATCTATAAGATTAGGTTGTATCTTGAGTCAATCTCTTTTGAGATATAAAAGACAGAAGTGAGCAGAGACAGGGGGACCTTATGCCACCAAGAATGAAGAACCAGGAGGGGAGTGCATCCTTTGGACCCAGGGTCCCTGCACCGAGAAGCTTCTAGACTAGGGGAAGATTGATGACAAGGACCTTTCCCCAGAACTGGTACAGAGAGAAAGCCTTCCCCTTGGAGCTGGCACCCTGAATTCAGATTTCTAGCCTCCTAGGCTGTGAGACAATACATTTCTGTTTGTCAGAGCCACCC